CCCCCCCCCCGAGTTTCCTACCGCACAGAACGGGTCTATCACCACCTCCCAGGCAGGCCTTCTCACGGGTGGTACCGTAAGGCGGGCAGGGCCTCCCGACACCTCCTTTGCCCTGGGTGCTGATCTTGCCGGCCCTCTGCCTCGTATTTTTAATTTTTATTTGTAATACTTGGGATTTAATCGAGGGCCTAGGCAAATGCGTTCTATCTCCAACCTTCTTTTTTTCTTTTTTTAAGGCAGGGGGGCCTCACTAAGTGACCCAGGCCCACCTTGGACTTGTACTCTGGCTGCCTCAGCCTCCAGAGCAGCTGGGATTCCAGGCCTGCCCTGCCAGGCCTGGGCTCAAGCTTTCATTATTGACAGCAGCCATTGATGTCTGTTAATCTGGGGGGATTTTTTTTTCCACCAGTAAATGGTTCCTTTCCACTTCATAGTGCCCCCACGATGTCACCCCATTCTCTAGACGAAAAAGCTAAGCTTCCAAGAGGTGACCCCACCTTTCTTTCTTTTGCAAACACTCTAACCTGTCCCGGCCTGTCTGAGTGTCCCTCAGCTCCCTGGTCCCCTAGGCAGGCCCAGCCTCTGCCTGGAGGAGTTGGGGGCTTCCCAGGGGGACCAGGTGGGTCCCTGGAGATGGCCCTCTGCCTCTGTCCCTCAACAGAAAAAGAGCAAAGGGCTCTCTCTGTACTCCCTCCCCGGCCTCACAGACACCAGAAGCTGCAAAGGCCTCAAGATGATTCCAGTAATCATAACAGTGATGAGGAGGCTCTGCATTTGTGTTGACTTTACGAGGCCATAAAACGCTCTCTACAGCCTCTGTCATGGTCGTCCTTCCTGTCTCATAGTGAGGAGACCGAGGTTCAGGGCGGCAGAAAGTCTTTCCCAGCTCTCCAGTCCAGCTCTCAGCCCCGCCCCCCATGTCTCTTGCCTTCAACAAAGTCACTTCCCTTCCCACCTCTTGCTGAGCCACACATCCAAGATGAGCAATGTGGGGAGGGGAGGGAATGGCCCCAGCTGTCTCCCCTTGCACCAGAGGACACCAGCTGGGAGACTTCCCCACCTCAAGCCCGGTCTCTGGTGAGGACACTCATGAGGGTATACACTGCAGCCAGGGCTCTAGAATCTGTGGAGCTGGAGGCTGTCCCTCATTTCCCCATGGGTACCAACTCACCACGTCCTTCATCTCCCCATGGCCTCTGACTTACCACATTCAGGTGGAAGCTGTCTTGCACCCAGGCCTTGGCCTCTTGGAACTCCTCCTTCAGCTCCATGAGGTAGAGGGTGTCAAGAGAATCGATGATGGTTGCCCCACTGAGGCCGCCTGTAGGCACAGAGAATTCCAAGTGTGACCCGGGGCCATTTTTATCCTTTTCATTCTTAGCTAGAAAAGTCACCCTCCCCCCAGGGTCCCCAAATGCTTGAAGAACTCCAAGGCACCAGCTAGGGGGACTTCAGTCCCACCAGTGAGGGCAAGAATGGATCCACCATCCTGTCTCCTTGTGGGAGGAGAGATGGAGGCCATGCTGGGCCCTTCCCAGACCATGATCACTCCTCGGTCAGCAAGTCATTCAGTTGCAGGCGACACCCGCAGTGATCTATGTGGCACACACAGCTTCTGACACACAGCCATTCCTGTGGCTCATCCACCCCTATTTCTGCTTTATCCTGTGAAAAAATACATGTGCTCACACATGCTTATGCAGGGAGACAGACGCTGCATGCCTGTGAACCCAGGGAGGATGTAGGCAAACTCCAAACCTTGTAATACAGACTGGAATATAGCACAGGGACATCCACACACACAGGTGAGGGAGACCTGCCTTTATGTGCTTGGAAGATACCCTGGGATGTCTCCAGTTAAAAAACAAACACAAACAAAAGACAGGCTGTGTGGAAGAACTACATAATAAGTTCTAAAGCCAGACATTGTCTACCAAATAAAAAGGCAGGTATAAGTTATCTCCTTTCAAGTGGTTGGCCAGTGGGGTCCCATAGACTCTCCTAAATATTTTGGGCTATTGCTATTACTATTGCTTACCACCCAGAACCTTATGGTAAGATCCTATTGCTCAAGACACCACATGCTTGAATCATAGAACATGGTGAACTCAAGCTGGTGCTGACTTGGAAGCTTCATCCCTACCGGCTGGCTTTCATGGTGCTGAAAGGTGCCATGCGTGCTATCAGAGGAGAAAAGTAATTATAAATCTTTCCCAGTTCTGAACACTGTGAGGTACAATGGCAACTGGCTTGGCAAGATACGCCCACCGGTACAATAGTGGCACTAACATGATGGGAGTAACCAACCACTTTCTGATTGGATTTGAATCCTGTACCACAAGACTACACTCATGCCTAGTGCTAGTCACTGGGCCAAAAGCCTGCGACTGGATAGGCCATACGCCTTGGGGGAGAACCTAGTACAATTACTTTGCTAAATGGATATAATATCCAACAACTGCCTCCCAAGTACTCTTCTTTGTATCCATAGATTAGCACCTCTCTGAAGCCTCAGAGAAGCTTATCTATCTATCTATCTATCTATCTATCTATCTATCTATCTATCTATCTATCTATCTATCTATCTATCTCTATTGCAGGAGATGGTGATTAAGACAAAGAGCCACAACTGGCCAACCTGCAGAGAATACGAGACTATGGAGTATTCTGCTCTAAATGGGACATCTATACCCCTCTCTCAAAGGCTCAGGGATCATCTGGGAAGAAGGGGTAGAAAGACTATGAGAGCCAGAGAGAGCAGATGTCTGCAGAAACACAGCATTTGCCAGACATAGGACAATGGCCCTGCAGACAGGGCCATTGCACACATGAACCCACAGTGGATGGGGTAGCATGTGTGAGAACCGCAGACATGAGCCCACAGTGTCTGGGATAGCTTGTGTGAGAACCGCACACAAGAACCCACAGTGGCTGGGGTAGCACGCATGAGAACCGCACACAAGAACCCACAGTGGCTGGGGTAGCAAGCCTGAGAACCGCAGACATGAGCCCACAGTGGCTGGGATGGCACGCATGAGAACTGCAGACATGAGCCCACAGTGGCTGGGGTAGCACGCGTGAGAACCACACAAGATCCAGGCAGAAGAATCCCAGCATGAAGTCCGCCCCTAGCTGAGTTGCTGTTGGCAACTGATGGCTGCTGGTGGAGAAGAGTCAGTTCTCTTCAGGGATGCGTCCCTAAGAGGCTACCTGCTGTTTAAATGAGAAATGTCCCCCACGGGCTCATTTGTTTGAGCACCTGGTTCCGTGTTGGTGGAGCTGTTTATGGGGGGAGGTGTGGGACCCTTAGAAGGTACAGACAGCCTTGGCCTTGCTGGAGGAAGCACATCATTAGGGGCGGGCTTTGAGGGTTTACAGCCTTGTTCTACTTCCTGTTCTCACTCCCTGCTTCCTGTGTGCAGCTGAGATGTGATCGCTCACCTTCCTGTTTTGACCACTTGCTGCCAACGCCTCCTAGGCCGGTAAGGACTCTCTATGGAAACGCAACCTCAAGTAAACGCTCCCACATGTTAGTTTTGGTTGTGGTGTCACAGAAGAGCAACCCACACACTACACACGATCCAGGAGACGGCCCTGCCCCAGGTAATACAGACAGGGCTAAGTGGACTCGGGGATTTTAAAAGAGTAATGACGCTGGGAAGGAGAGTGACGGAGAGGACCGGGGAGGGACTGGAGGGGACTGGAGAAGAGGGGAGGGGAGGGGAGGGGAGGGGAAGGGAGGGGAGGGGAGGGAGTGGGTTTAATCAAACATTATAGGCACGAATGAATTTCTCAAACAATAATAAAAAAGATGAAAAAGTGAAAACAGAACAGGTGGCGGAGATGGCGGGGTGCGTGAAGTGGTGGCCGTGTCTGTCACCCCAGCGCTGGCAAAGCAGGAACGGGCTGATCCCTGGAGCCCTGTGGCCCCCAGCCTAGCCTGCGGTGAGTCCCAGGCCTGTGAGACCTGTCTCATAAAATCTAAGAGAGCACTTGAAGAGCGACAGTTGAGGCTGTCCTCCGGGCTCTACATACATGCACATGTGTGCGCACATACATACATGCACACGTGTGCGCACATACCCCCTCTCTCTCACAGAGCCAGCAAAACTCCAAAAGCAGCCTGGCAGACCCGCTTTATTGCAAAGCGAAAAGGGGGCTCCAAGCTGGAGACTGCGGGGCTCAGAGCTTGTCTCTGGGTGCTGGGGTAGAAATGTTGTTTATTTCTTCTGGGTTATTTTTTGTTAGAGACTTATTTCCGTTAAAAAGAAAAATGGGAAACAGTTTAGACAAAGGAGCCAGATAATGCACAACCCAAAATCCTCATGTTCTCTTATTCTAGGGCAGGGGGTTCACAAAGAGCTGTCACTGCTTGCTCTGTGCCCCAACACTGGTCCCTGGGAGTAAATACTGAGGTAACTTGTCCCCGCTGTCCTCACTGTTGAGGGAGGCAGGAGAGGATTGAGGGAAGCCTCAGCCATTTGGGCACTGTCAGGTCCCAGAATGGAGAGGAGTGAGCTTGGTGCCATCTGGAGAGCTTCCTGGAAGAGGAGGGGCTGACTTTCAGCAATATCTTACAGCTAGAGTCACAGACAGCAGCAATGTCTTTTAGGGCCCAGAGCACTTTCACCCCTAAATCCCTCTAGGGACACTGGTACCCAGACTCTTCCTCGGATGTTCCAATTTGCAGATGCTCAGGTCCCATCTATAAACGGCATCGATTTTGTTGTGACCTAGGCAATTCTCTCGTGTACTCTATTTCATCTCAGATGAGTTACGATAGTCTCAGGTCAGTCCTGTCACACTATATTATTAGGGGATAGAGATAAGAAGAAGATCATGTACCGGGCGGTGGTGGCGCACGCCTGTAATCCCAGCACTCGGGAGGCAGAGGCAGGCAGATCTCTGAGTTCGAGGCCAGCCTGGTCTGCAGAGCAAGATCCAGGACAGGCACCAAAACCACACAGAGAAACCCCGTCTCGAAAACCAAAACAATAATAATAATAAAATAATAATAATAATAATAATATCATGTTGAATCCACTCATGTGAAAGCGAGGGATGCAGAGAGCCCACAGCATGGCCCTCAGGAGAATGGCGGTCTCCACTGTGCCCCTGCAGAAGCTCAGGGGGTCAGGAGTCACAGGCTGAGTCTGGCCTGGCTTCGTGCCTCCACATCCAGGGTTCCTCCGCCTGCATGTCCCTAACTGCTCACTTGTATGAGTGCGCATGGAGACTCCGGAACTGAATCATGGGCGGGCATGGTGTGTGTGATAAAGGGCACAGCTCGAAAAAGAACCAGAGAGAGGGAGGGCAAGGGAGAAGGGGGCAAAGACAGGGCCAGAAGTTAAGGACATATCACCAGAAGGGAGTGCTGGCTGCAGAGGCGGGGGTGGTCACATGTCTGGGTGCTTAGACTAGGGCTGAAGTGAACTTGTGGAGCGCCAGCCCCCCCCCACAACCACGAGGCCAGGCCCGCATTCTGTCTCCTCTCTAGGTGCCTCCTCTCTGGGGCCAGCAAGGCTCTAGCGAAGGAAGACTTTACCCTCTGGAGACGTTTATGCTCCTTGGGTGGCGGGTCTGGAGCACAGGTCCCAGCGATCCAGGGCCCTGTCTAATGTATCCCACGCAGGCTGCGAAGCTGGTGTTTTAAGGGCCTGGAGCAACTCTGAGGTCCTGTTGGGTCACCCTTTCCTCTCCCGGATGAGGCCCCATCAGGGACTAAGCCGGCTCAGGGGAGACGAGCTTCCGCCCCCCCAACTCTCAACTCCGGGCAAAGGGTCCTAAGTGCTCACCGTCTGGCAGCCAGCCATAGCCAGGGCCAGGAGGAAGCCGAGTCCCTCCCTCCAGGGCACAGCGGAGTCTCTCATTTCAAAATCCTGCCCTGGGTCACGTGTCTTCACCTCAAGAGCCCTCTGTCTCTTGGGGCCCGGCAGGGAGAGCAATCGGGGCTCCCTATGACCAGCTGTCCCCATGACACCTCAAGATGTCTGACGCGGGCGGCTGAGAAACTGGCTGAGTCCGTTAGTGAGGGCCTGCTCTGGCTTGAGGCTCTGGCCTCTTGGCTTGGATGGTTTCTTCCCTGCCTCCATCCGGCACCTGGCTGGGCTGGGGTCCAGCAAGGCACTTAGGGAGAACCTTCACTTCAGGCAAGCTCAGGGTTACTCTAGAGCCCCGGCTGGACGACAGAGAAGACGCTCTACCCCCAGTCCAACCCTCTATGGCACCTGGACGCCTTCCATGGGCAACAGACAGACACCCGGTAAACAGGCCACAGCCTACGTATACCTAAAGATCCAACAGGTCTCAGAACAGCAGCCA